ATGTCATCATCAGTTTTGCTGAGTTGTGATGGAGAAACATTGATTCTAGGTAAGGGTAAGGTAAGGGTAAAATTTTCGGCTAAGATCATCTCGAAATTTTCAAGAATACCCTTAAATAACACCGGAAGATATTGAAAAATGGCGTGGATTAACGATTATTAATGATATGTCACGTGCACAAAAATCGTAAAGTTTTTAAATGCTTAATGACTGAAATTGAAAATGGACTTAAGATATGCATAATTATAAAATACAGAAAGCAATGTACTCTTCTTTTTAAATACCCAAGCTAAAATATACAAAAAAGCGAAAATTTTTAATTATGATTTTATTTTTTTTTACGCCCTAAARTATACCAAATCGCTGATTTTTTACCTTCAAGAGATACGACAAGCATATCATAACCGAAACTTTCTCCCCTGCCATGTCAGTAGCGAATACTTATAGCTTACCGTCGATAAAAAATATATCCTTCCCACCATTTCCTCCATTCCAGTCTAGGCATTGATATGATTTCAAAGATTTTATTGGTGGCCTTGGGATGGCAAAGCATTGTGGAATTTCTACAGCAAAGGCATGAAATCTGAAACATAAAAATCAAAACTTGTTCAGGACTCTTATTCTTCATATTCTTTATTTTCTTCAAGAATATATACTTTGTATTCTAGAAGAATAGAAGACAATGGAGCACAGTCGAGTCTGAAGGACCTGTTACACGTTAAAACGTTTAGCTGTAACTCGTGTTCAACAACAGTGCGAGACAAAGTTCAAAAACGTTATTACAGGGCGCCATTTGGTCCTGCCGTAGAATACTGTTCGCGACACAAATTTCGTTACAAAAGTAGAAAGAAGTTCTACTTTCCCTAAACATTTCTAGGGACGAAAGTTTTACTAAACATAATTATAAAATAACTATAAGTTATAAATCTCGCGTTATGATTGCACGAAGCACAATCGCGCACTTTCAGTTGCGTCATTCCTGTACRAAATAACGATTGCTGAAATTTGAAAAGAAAAAAAAAAAAAGTTTGCTTGCTGTGCAATGCGGAGCACTCGGGCATTGGCAGAACACTCGAGAAGTGTGCAGAAGCACTCCCCTACGTGTTGTGCTTCTCCTAACACTTCTGTCGTGTTATGCCAACCCCGTGTGCTTTATAACTGCACACAGCACACGCGCGTGTTTTCTATTTCTTCAATTGCGTCGTTTGACACCCCCGTTAAATTTAAATTGTCTCGCAACCCTGTTGCGCACAAGTTGAGATACAAGGTGACATACCCTGATCGTAATGCTAAAAATGCACAAGACGTCTCATTGTAGCTTTCACCTATAGGCAGCATATTATTAAATTTGCCGACGGTAACGATGCAGCCAACTCGCCGTACTACAAGAAACGAAAGTTTTACATATTATTTAGACAACTTGCTTGTAATATGCTGATTGCTCCAACATTCCTTGTATAATGTATATAATAAAAGTAATAATAATAATAATAATAATAATAATAATAATATCTACAATGATGATAATAATAAAATGGCGTTTTGAAACTTGTTTATATGTAAAAGCAATAGTAATAATAATAATAATAATAATAATAATGATAATAATATTGATAATAATAATAACAACAACAACCAAAAACAAAAACAAAAAACAAGACAAAAACAAAAAACAAAAAAAAACAAAAAACAAAAAACAAAAAAAACAATGACAACGACGACGAAAAACAGACAACCGATTTGGTTACCATACCAGCGATATTCGAGTTTAATGACCTTGTTTGATCTGTTAATTAGAAAGAAACATTCCCTTATTCCCGACACAAGTAAGTACATTATTATTCAATATTTAAGTCTGAAGCGTCTTGTTGACAAACGCGCGCGTGCCATTATAATCTAATAGATGCCTCTTCTCATTGGAATCTGTAGGATGTATAACAAAATTAAATAATCTATTACCCAATACTCACATGAAATCGAAATCAAAAGAGGTAAATGGCGTCATATACATATTTTTTTGATATTTGAATTATGAAGCGCGCGCTGATTGGCTGGCTGGTTTAAAACAGCAGTAAAAACGGCCGATTTTGTCTCTGTACAGTGATATAAACACTCTGGGAACTGTAGAGCAATCCCGAAAAGTAAGAGAAAGAGCTTCYCTCTTGCTCAACAGCTCCCAGCGAGTTTATTTGAAAATTATTCGCCAAAGGCGAAGTGATTCTTCGATATTCACTGAGGCTTAGGCAAATAATTGTTTTAGTATAAATACACAGGTGATTCTTTCAAAAAAAGAAGATAGAAGAGATAAAAGAAATTTTTTTCGGTAACAGCAACGAAGCAACCTGTGTATTTTTACTAAATCCCAATACATAGACATGCTCGCGCGATTTATTTTGTTAAATAAATTATGCCAAAATAAATTGCAATGACACTTTTATCATAGCAATGGTATTCTCGTACCTATTCGGCATCCATAAAATTCCATCCTGACCGCAATTTGTTGATGCCAAGCCAAAGGACAAAGTCTGGTGTAGCGGACTCTTATGAGGCTAGAAAAGTTGTGCCTTACGATATTTTTTTCGTCAGTGTTTCCAAGAAAAACCTAAGAAGATAATGAAATGTTTTCTTATGACAGAATAAAGACACAAACAATAATGGAAACTAGTAATAGTAGTTGTCGATGTTTTTGTAACAACAGTATTGTAGCAGAAGCAGAAGCAGAAGCAGAAGCAGAAGCAGAAGCAGAAGCAGAACTTCATTGTCATGATGTTATATTTTAGTGTTTTCTTACCCTTGGGTTTTTGTTCTCGATGTAATACTCAAACCCATTAGTAGCAGAAAATGACGCAAATTTCAAAACGTAGCTCGTCACCCACCATTGCTCATTATTGGCTCCCTGGGTGGCAACGCCTGTCAAGTTAGTTATCTTACCAAGATCGACCTGAAATGTGACCATGATTTATTACATGCAATAAGAACTAATCCACTGGTTTCCCATTTCATATCCCGTGTTATTCCTTTGAAAACTATTTCTGAGTTCCGAATTTGTAGCTGGCGTATTTCATTTATTTAACGAAAGAAGCAAAGAGGGTCCTTGCATAAAAATAGGGCAGAAGCAAGGACTAACAGCTAAGGACACTTTGGGATAAGAAGCAAACAACATACTTGTCCTCCGCACAATATTCTCCCAACCTTTTCTTCTCCAATTATTTTCGGATTAAACTGACTACGTTTCTTAATTTCTCCCATGCTCCACTTTTTTAGTCACTACCTCTCAGACCGACAAAAATTTCCTTAAAAAAACTTTGTTTTACCTGCAGCCATTGTTTCAGATCGTTATTCGATGGACTCCAGAAGCTGTGCGTTGTATTTTCCCATCGAATTCTTCCTTGCCAAGGGTAGTAATATGAATGTAAATAACTTGAAGAATTAATTGCTGCGTCTTTAACAGCTCCATTTTCTAGTCCCAAAGGCACCCCTGGATTAAAAACAAGTCGGAAAGCAAAGCTGCAATAAATATGGGTTYGTGTGAAGATTGGATGGAAAGTGCCGCTGTTATGCTGCTTCATATTAAGGATATATTTCAAAGGTTACGCGGTCTACGTCGTCCCCTAAAAAGGTCCCGCGATCGACCCAATACACCGATCCCGCATTCATTGTTCTACTTCCCTAGTTACTCTTGACAAGCTAAAATTCGTTTTTGGAGCAGAGACCGATCGATGAAAATTGTAAATCTATGTCTTAGAATCAATGAATTTTAAAGGTATATTAAAGAAAAAATCGATCATATGAGTTCGAGTTTCTGGTCGGGCATTCTGTATTCCATAAGGAAAATTACCCATTGTTTGGGTGGACACTCAAATATAAACTCAAAACATAGCCGGGATCGGTCTATTTGAGCCTCAACCTTGGATAGCGATGGCTAATAATGCAACAAAGTCAATGTCTAGAGATATAAATTATATATCATGAAGCTATAGTTTTTCTCGGACAAAGAGCCGAGCTCAAGGAAGGATTTGAAGCCGCGAACTTCTTATTGCTAGTCAGACGCTTTAACAAGAAGCTCGTCAACCATTGACTCAAAAATGGAAAAAAAATTCATTATTTTTTTAATGTAATTAATTTTTCCATGACTATGCTGACCTGGAATAGATAGTGTAGGATCCGTATGGCCATAGAGCTCCATTCGTAATGAAATCCTTATATTCCACGTGACTGGTAGAAGTCTAATGTACTTTGCCGTGAAGGACGGATTGAATTCATTTTTGACTATATCACTATTATTAAGGTTACCTTTGAATACCTGAAAATATATCATGATATTATATAGACATTAGTGTTTCCATATCATCACTAGTGAATATATCGTTGACTTCGTTTCCAATGTTTTCCAATGCCTTTCAACAAGGTTTTGTTTGTGAATATGTCTATATAACGAAAAGAAAATTACACGTTGGCTTGAAGACAAAAGTTGGCCTTCTCGTGTTGAAAAATATTTCACAAGTTCGCTGCGCTCACTCGTTAAAATTTCTCACCACTCGAAGATAAACTTCATATCTTCGCGTCTCCGTGTAATATCCTCTATGTGTTAATCAAATTGACGATATTGGCCATGGTGTTGTGATCGTGATGATTATACTAATGATAATGATGGTGAAGTATATGATGATGCGACATCGTGTCCGGGAATCAAACTCGGGTTGCATCCCGGGCAGCGCACACAGCCCGGGAATATTATAAAAAGAAAACATCGAGTAAACTTCGAATACAATTACAATTTTTGCGTGGTTTACCTTTGCTGTCATAGTGGAACTATTATACACTTTAAATGTATTTTCTTCGTAGGAATTACTGAAAGCTATTCTATAAGACTTGACCCATTCTTGTTTGTCCGCTATTCCTTGTGTGGCAATGGCAGTTATAATGTGAACGTCTTTGAAGTATAACTGTATCCACTGCTTTTCATTTGAGTGTCCCGCTGTCCAAGCAGACATATTGTTTAGTCTCGCATACGAGGGGGAATATGCTCGACTTGGTTTAACTGATGAAGCCTGAAATGCAGGCGAAAGAAAAGCTCCATCTTCCAGTCCAATGGATGCATTGCAGGTTGTTTTCATAGCGTTTGCTAGTGGACAAAAACACATTAGTGAATGAGCAAATAGGATMATAAAGTAGTAACGCAATTTAATGTGCAGTATATCTTCAATTGGTAAAGAGTTGTCATTGTCAATCAATGACAAATATTTTTTCAACACTAGAAAAACAGAAATTGAAAAACCGTAAATAAGTCTTTTTATTCAAAAAATAAAAAAATAAAAAAATAAAAAAAAATAAAAAAATTGTTTTAACGAAATCTCTCATTACGTAGCACGCGCTACTCAATCACGTCAGCGTGCACCATCCATTTAGCAAAACCAAGGTCCCTTTTCTATGGTCTGTACTCTTATCAAACATGGAATGGYGTCAGCATGTGATCCGAACTCAAGTGGAACCACGAGCGAAGCGAACCAGAAAAAATTAACTAACACGCATTTTTAATGACCAAAACGACCAACGGAAAGAGAGCGCGTTTGTTGACGTCAGCTTATTTGTAGGTCATTTTATCGATCATAAAATATAGCCAATCAGCGCRCCAGAAATTAACGATTTGTGGTAAAATTTTGAATGCTCGCTCGCGCAGGCTAATAACCAATCAAAGCTAGCATTATATCGTGGCTATGTTGAAAGCGAACTTTTCGTTGGTAAAGGTGAAATATTCAGTTGTATGTTGTAGGTTGTAATATTAAACGTAGTGTTGAGTAATCCCTTACTGCTGTTAGTGGGAGTGATGGTCGTAAAAGTTATAGGCGTTGAACTAAATTCTAGTATTTCCCATGACAATATGTGATGAAACAGACTCATGTCAAAATTTTGGTACAAGAACAGGCTTGAAAACATGCGCAAGACTGATGCTTACGAAAGCGCTACCGCATTATCTCATCTGACCCAACTATATATAAAACCTTATGAACAAGTGGAAAAAGATGACATATAAAACTGACGGTACTCTAACCTGTATAGGAATTTCCGCATCCATAAAACTCCACCTTCAAGGCAATTCCCCCATACCACTCCTTGGGCGCGATTCTGATGTATATAGCCTCAATTGCCGGTTTAAGATAATGTTTCTTAATACCGTACCCGTTTACATTGCCCTGAAAAAGCTAAAAAAATATATTTAATGGTTATAATTCCTCCGAAATAAGACTAAAATGACTTTTTTTCTTATTTCAAGTAAAAAAAAAAAAGTCCTGCATTTATTAGACAGTTTTTCTTTTGCTTGACCGCTGTCTCCACCTTGCTTCATTAGAGAGTTTTAGATTTACGTTCACGGCAACGTGAAACGTCAGTTGACCATTAAAAAATTCTTTTGAATTACTGAAAAAGAATCGCAAAAAAGTCCAAGTAGTAGAAAAACAAAAGAGTATTTGCGCTTGGCGAGAAGGTTTGTAAAAGGTAAAGTAAAATACAGGAAAACTATGAAAGCGTGGTCACGTTTGCCGTTTGCGGGGAGAAAAAAAAGTCAATCTAAAACTCTCTATTACCATAGGTTTAACTTCAAGCAAGAAACAAGCAAATCACAGAAGTTTTATTCAATAATTTCATTGGCAGATCTTTCCATACTTTTTATAATTGCTTTTTCTTGTTTTGGAAGTTGCTGTTTTTCAAAATTCCTTAAATAGTATTGTAATAAATAATTTGAAAACCCCGTTTTGTTATTTTTTAAATCACTAGCGTATGGAGGGAGGAGGGTTGGGTTTGGTTTCCGCACCAAAATTTAATGAGTTCATGCGGGATTCCTGTGGATTTGCGGGAAAATGATTAGTCTATCTTTCCCCCTCCCCAAATCTATAATCTAGAACTCCCTACGCACCTGCTTTAAATCAATTAGTACTTCAAGGGCTTTGTACAATGTTTATTCGATAGCCTAACCTAGACAACTTACCATGGGAGTACTCAAACTGCTGTAATTGAAATATGGTTGAAACGCGTTTCCATCCATTCCATATAGGACGTGATACCACGTGACCCATGAGCTTTGATCTTTTATGCCTTTGGTAGCTATTCCTGTAATCTTGGATCGAGTTCCAAAGTAGACCTGAAGCCATTCGTTTGGGGTTGAATATATTGGACGCCATCCTTTATTTCCGTCATTAGTTTCCGGGATTAATCTTGAGGCATTTGGGGACCTCTCGTCGTTCATCTTGGAAGATGCACTTATAGCTTGTATAGGGATATAAGTTGAACCCATACCCATGGGATGGGAGCATAAATCGGACTCTAGGAAGRAAATGTGCCATTAAAATATATCAAGTTATATCAATAGCAATTGCTATTGGAACTTAACCTCTGGCCATTCAGTTTTGGGAGAAGTACTTATAGCATGTTAAGGTATACCATGGAATTTGAACATATATTGGACTCTAGGAAGGAAATGTGGCATTAAAATATAAGGACATTGCGCTGTTGACGTATTTTGAAGGATGCACTTAACGTATGACGATTAGAGTAAAAAGCATGAATACGAAACAAAATAAAGATAAAGAATAATAATTACTATCCTCTCCTGACTTACCCGAAAAAGTGAAATTGCATCCATATATTTCCATTCTCATAGAAATCCATCCAAACCTATCAACTGGGTAAAGTCGTAAATAATGCATTCTTACGGGGTTTTGTAAATACTGCTTTATAATAGTACTTTGATCGTAGTTCCCCACAAATGTCTAAAATCAAAGAAGATTAAAAATTACTAAAAAAGAGGTACCTCCAAGATATGGGGCAGAATATTTATTTGGACACAGCTGCAAACTCATGAGCGACAAATGTTAAACACAAATGTTGTTGGTAACAACAGTAGGTATTAAGCACATGTTAGCAATTGCCCTACTTCACTATGACGTCACATCAAAACAATATTTAACAATCTATTGTTTAAACGCAAAGGATCATGGTCGTCGGACGGGGTCAAATCAACGCAAACTAACCGAAAATTGTTCTAAATCCCGTATCATTCCACGAAGAGAAGTAGAATAGCCAGCAAACGCTTAGAATATTTTTTAGTACATATTAACACATATTATATCTGAAAACCAGGTCATTTTAGATTAAACTGTTTCGCTAGGAGCAAATTTAGTTGAATTTTATATTGGATTTGGCGATTCTATCCCCGAMATAAACAAGCAGTGACGTCATAGTGAATTAGCTCAATTAGTCCTCAATCCCGAATGGGCTATTGACTCATAGACCATGAGGGGACGAGATGACTAATTGTTTTAGTCAAATCCAGCTAGTCGGTCAAATATAGATGCAAACAAGTTTTGAATTAAAATTAAATTTAATATTTTGGTTTTCAAAACCAGCACTTTTCGCTACTAGTAGGGCATAACCTATAGCATAGTAGTAGTTCATCCAATCAGCACGCAGCATTGATGACAGACCACTTGTTAAATTTAACTAAAAAGGTGATATTGAAATTGCAGAAAGAGTRAGACATACCTTTACGTTGCCATTTTCGGTGTACATTATAAACTGTTGGCCGTTGTCACTGTATCGTAATTGGTAGCGCGTAACCCATTGGGGCCAATCATCTCTTCCTTGCGTAGCAACTCCCGTTACTAAAGTGAGGTCAACAAGCTTTACCTACAAAAAAATAGGTAGTGAAAAACCATTGTTTCCGAAAAAATTCTTGCACCATCTTGAGGTCACCTGGTTGTAAATGTTACTAATTCTTATTTATAGTATCATTTAATCTATTAATATACTCATTGCATTTTTTACTAATACTTAAATACACTGGGAGTTGTAGAGCAAGAGAGATCTAGAAGCAATCTTAGGAATACGAGGCAAGAGGCGTGTATACGAGTGTTTCTCTTGCTTCTCTCATGCTCTACAGCTCCCATAATGTTTATATCACAGTACAGACAGAGACAAAAGCAGCCGTTTTATATTGTTTTCATGATAAAACATTTTGGAACGATTTTGCACGGGTTTGCCCTGTTATATTTCAAATCTTTTATAAACTTTTATATAATTATATTTCTATATTATATCACAWTATATCGTAGTAGTTTTATTGTCTTTGTAGCTGAAAAACCCATAATGGGAAATACAATGAAGACGTATGTAACTAAAAATGAAAGTATGCAATATCACGGGACCGTAGTAATTGTCTCCAGCTCAGCGTTGAGAATTCCCTGCCTCAGTACACGTTTCATTACTGGGGTATCTGTGGTAGCCCAGTCATAAAATGCCCTTGTTTTTTTAAGTGGGATACCTGCGAATAACAGTCGTAAAATGCCTTTGTTTTGTTTTTTGTTTTTGTATTTTTTCCCTCCTCGACAAAATGATCAAGTTACGCAAGTAAAAGAACGTAAAGGTAAAGAAACTTTCCCAGCCGACCTTTGCGGGCATCTGCTAATAGGGTTCCCGTCTATAGTCCAAACGATTATCATGTACCAGATGTCAATCAAAGTCACTATGTTGTCAAGTGATTATCACGTGGCAGAGGTTTATGTCTATACAAGCTCTATTTCGTGGACTGCCGTAATTCAAGACAGCCGAACTAGAAATAGTAATTTATCAATTTCGTAAACAGGAATTTCTAGCCGAGAAGATAGCGATGATTTCGAAGCGATTATTTCTAAGAATTTTCAAGAAACTTCATGGGCATTAGCTTGTTTTTGTTAACTATTCATGATTCATCTACTCGAGCAGTATTTTCTGCACGAACAAGCGAAGATCGACTATAAGGAGAACAGGGTTTCAAGAGCCAGATATACAATAAGCGAAAGTAAACGAATTCATTCAGCATGACTCGTTAGTCTCTTGAATTTGACAATATAGATTTCCTTATAGCCTATATTTATGTATTTATATTAACTGTTTTGGATTTAAAGTTTACTCACAAAGAAACATGAGGTACATACTAATATTAAAGAAGCAAAATAAATAACTTGCTACGCACATTCCAGGGTTTGATCTTTGCCGTACGAAGGGTTATAATCTCCTTTAGTTTTTCTTCAAAAAATGGTGATTCATCAAAAAATATCGATAAATCATAAATATAAAGCAATTATGAGAAACGTATTGTCTGTATTTACGTTTTAAATAAAGCATTTTGATTTTAAAGCGAGCCGTGCGAATGTGCATGTTTATGAAACATGGTCATACATCAACCTAATTACGTATGCCAAAATCCGGACTGGAATTCGAATTGGAGTTCCAGATTGAGTTGTTCGATGACTTTGATGGGTATCGCATAAACGCTCTGCCTACAAACGGCTTTCAACACTGTCGTTCGAAATTTTTCAACTTATTTTTACTTCTCCATTAGGTTCTTCGAGACTCTGATACTAGTAAACCGTCCCAACCAGGGTCTGGTTTATCATTACTTCGAGACGTCACGAAATACTTTATCAGTAGTTTTGGAAGCTCAACCAACTAAATACTCCATGCATGTTGAAACCAGGTCCTCCACTCCCCCCTTCCAGATATCCCAGTTTACCCTGCTCACAGGTTCTAGTTTTTATTGTCAAAGTCATCCCTTTGATAACTATTTTATTTTATCTCAAAACTCAAAGCTAAACAAACAAATATGTCTAGAATAAATGCCAAGTAAAGCAAGTTGATTCTAAAACATAATGTTCCTCTTACCATAATCCATGGATTTTGATCGTTTTTTCCAGCACTCCAACCCGAAGTAGTGCCTGGTTTTCCTAGAAAATTAAGTCTAGCTCCTTTGGCATCATGATAAGCATTGTAATTACTCGATGATTTGAAATTGCCATCTGGTATTGCCCCCGTCTCCAGACCCAAAGCTATGTCACATCCTCCTTTAGTTTTCTCCACTTATTGTGTCAACAAAATAAAAATAAAAATGAGAAGAAGAAGTAGTAGTAGTAGAAGAAGAAGAAGAAGAAGAAGAAGAAGAAGAAGAAGAAGAAG